TAATTAATGTTTATTGAACGAAACATGATATGCATTTTTATATTCTAAGAAGTAGATGAATCACCGAAAAATAGCTTATTTTCTCTCATATTTCCGTTAGAGTGTATGGAAAAGGTCGATTTGAAAGACTGAATTCATTTTTAATTATTAAATTTAGCGCTACTGATACAATTTGAGTAATATACTTTCGGTCTAGTATCACTAGCTCAGTCGACAACATATACCCTAAGCGCAAGACAAAATGGAGCTCAAATCGTATATGACACTGATTCGAAACACGTCACTTAAACCACTTGGAGGTCCGCCTAATGGTGGCGGCTGAAATTTCCAACTGACCACATCTGCACAGGTTAATTTTCCTTATGTATGTTTCGCATTCTCTAATAATTAGTGGTGTGGGATAATGGATATTGATCGAATGGAACGAACCATTCTTCAGATTCCACCTTTGCACTCATTCTACAGCTCTTCCCGCTAGCTATACACCCGGAAGCACTAGATTCGAGTTTTGCTCCTATTAGAGCTCATCAGTGGTGCATATCTACCGTCCCGTCCAGGATCTGAATTCCAGACCCATCGCGTGGAAGATGCGTGTGTTACCATTGATCCGTTATAATCAATCACTGTCAATAATCCCACAATACTATTCACAAGTAACTGTGAATTAAATGTAAATAGGAATATTTGTTGACTCTTTCATGACACAATTTGTAAAAGGCTTTGGGCTACGGCGGGTAACTTGATCTTGGCGGTATCTCCTTCTTACGAACCTTGATGTCTTTAAAATTGTGCATTGTTCTACTAGTTTGAATAACCAGTTTCGGGAACGTTTGCTCAGTGCCCTAGGGGAATTGTCAATTCCTATTTGTTCAGGGGTTATCTTCAGAGATATTCAATCAGTTCATTTGGGCCCGGCAGTAGCGAAGGGAGACAGTTGACTATCTGTTAACTCCAATCGAAAGCCTCTCACCAAATCAGGCTTTCCCTGCAGGTAAGGGGCTAACTGGTTATGAACCTGGTCAGCACAGTGGTAACACGCATGCCTTCCATAAGATGTGTCTGGAGTTCAAAGTCCAGACTGGACCGTGAAATTACACTACTGATAATAATAATAATAATAATAATAATAATAATAATAATAGGATCGAAACTAGAGTCTAGTGCTTCCGAGTGTACGGTTAACTGGAAGAGCTGAGAAATGTGCGCGAAGGTGAGGTCAGAACGATGGTTAGTTTTTCGTCAATCATTATGTAAGATTCTCCATCGACCTGAAGAGTTTCCATTAGGGGTTTTGCGGTGATAAGATGTTCAATAGCACTAAAGAATTCAGTGAAAAGTTTTAGCAACAATAGTTTGGCAATATATAAATATGACGACCGTTTATTACCCTTTACAATAGCTAACCAGCTGTAGGAGAACCAGCCGCACAACCACAGTATGCGATCATCACACCTCATTTCAATAGCGAGCTTTGAAAAATCAACATTCGTGGAAAATAAAACGTTTCAGCATTCTCAGAATATTCCTCAGAATATTCCGATATCTTGTGATCTGACGCACGTACAGCGGCGTGTCTAAAGTTTGTGCTTCGATATTAAAGGACTGCGAGTCGCGACAAAAGTATGACGGGTATTGGCCAAACAAAATATTGATTAAGGCTAGATGATTGCAAATTTTGATTAAATTTGGATGGGAAAAGCTGTAGAGGAGTCTTTTAGTGTTACGGGTCGATTTACGATGGCCCACTAATCATGTGCAGAGATATAACGATGCCATTAAACTTGCAGGGTCTGTTGTTCCCTTGTTAGTTTGTGACGAAGAGGAAAGTAACATATACGAATGGTGCACCATTACGTTGAATCCGTCAAAACTATTTAAAATCCATCACGATTTCTATTCCCTGAATCAAATCTGAGCCAGTTGGATATTACAAGAAGAACCATAATAATGATAATAATTGATTACCTGAGCACGCATGATGAAGCTTCTTGACAACTTTCAAGCTATGCGTACACACACACCACTGTATGCACATGCCTATTCGCTAACTAATTAAATTGTCACAGGTTTATAAAAGTTAAGTTATTCCTCTCTATGAAAGCACAAATGATAGGAGGGATAGACCGCATAACTGTGAAGCAAATTTTCTACACACCCTCGCACTGGAGTGCGATTTGTTTCCCGTCAATTATTTGCTAGACAATTTATCAATATAAGACAGGTGAATTATTCTGAGTACTTGTTGAAAAAATCCCTCCCTTTCTGGGCGAAACCTCTTTTCAAACCGATTTCACGATACATTGATCTCATCCGTCTGAGGATGGTATTTTAATCTAGAGATGATCCGAGATTATATGAGGGGTATCCCACTATTTCTGGCCGTTTTGATCATTATATGATGAATTAATCGTGTAGATGAAGCATGATCTGAGAGCTAGAAAGCACACTGGACAGTTGTTTCGACCTGGTTCGGTCTCATTAGCAGTGAGGATCCATTGATCCGACTGGGGAATCAACTCGGGACGTGTGTTAACGCATGCCTCTAAATAGGTTGCCACGGCGAGCGATATTCGCTGAGGCAGGTCGTAGACGCAACAAAGCCAAAATAGATTAACCCAAGACCTGGCATGAGGATATGAAAACCCTAACCAGGAGACTGGGTCACATAGGTCCCGTTAGGCTCCCAGGGTGGGGGGACTTCGGGATGATCGTAACCGATGGTTAGAGACACTGAGTAATATGGCTGCGTGTCTCAAACAATGGCCTTCGCGCATCTTCCCAATCGCAACCATAGTACACTGAAATTCTCCATTTTCTTTTCGACTCTAATTTCAACTTTCCTATCTTGCCCCTACTGTTCATCTGAATGGGTAGCTAAAAGGCAGAAACCAACCCCGGCTCACCAAAGTGTATGGTTGATGGTTGTACGAACTGAACTGAGCTATAGGACACACACACAGATCGCATTAGGCTTCATGGATGAGAATCTCGGGATTACCTTCACTGATGATTTGCGCTTGCGCATTTGCTCGTTGTGCTTGCGGATTTAGTCTACCTGAATTTTCCATTCTTATATTGGTCCTGCCTTCGATATTCCAATATTTCCTCTACTATTTTATCCAGATGGGCAGCCAAGGAACAGCCGCATAAACTAGAAATTAAACTGAACAAGGGAACGATTAGTTGGCATATCGTCACTTCGGGGAAATCGTCTTAGTGTTTATAAGCATACAAGTTTTGAAATATGCCGGATTGTTGAGAGCGTCTTTCCGACAACCCAAACGTTTATGAGTATCACGTGAACTCAAACGAACAGATAAAAGCCGGGTGGTAGAAACAAAATAAATACACATATTTTAAGCTCAGAGGTAGTCTACAACTTCCAGGGAACCACATTGCGCAGAACATCGTGCGAACGAGACCTGGGTGTTATGGTTACATCATCACCAAAGACCCGAGAAAACACCGATCGGGTCTGTGCTAGCGCATGGAGCATTCTGGGGCCCATTCGGCGGTCGTTCAACCAGCTCACGATCGACGCTTGCAGGCTTGTGTACGCTTCCCATGTCAGACCAAGACTTGAGTATGGTGGTGCGGCGACATGCCCCTGCACGGCCGGTGAACTGGATAAGTTGGAGCGTGTACAACGTGCTGCCACTAGACTCGTTGTTGGACTGCGCGGGACCAGCTATGAAGGTCGTCTACAGGCTACTGGTCTGTTCCCAATTTCGTATCGACGCCTCATGGGAGATCTGATCTGCCTGAGGAAGATCCTGAGAGGTGATATGGGCCCGGGGCTGCAACAGTACTCCCCTTTACGGACAGAGCACCGCACGCGGGGGCACTCTCAGTCTCTCACGGAAACTGCAGTCAGTTTGTCTTCCGTCAGCCTACCGACTCTCGGATAGGTCAACAACACTCCGGAATTCCCTTCCAGCGATTGTGGTGGAATAGAAGACAGATGCTGCTTTCAAACGGCATCTGGATGAGCACCTGAAGGGGCTATGGAGGGACGAACTTTTGTGATCGGACCTTCGACCCAGTGGTGATGGGGCTTACGCAAGCAACCTACCGTCTGCCCTCAGTCCTGAAGACTGAAGACTAGTGAGTTTCGCTCATGCAACGTTGGACTGTGGCACATAAAAGTAAGCTAAACTTTAGTCTGGATAGGTGAATAATTCGTAATGTCAACATGAACATCCGGGGACCATAGTTTATTTGGGGAGGTGGGTGGTAGGTACTAAATAGTTACAACAACGTCACAGGCTATTCGACAATCGCCATACATCCAGAAACCAGATCTCAGCTGATCACCCAAAGTTATTAAACGGTGATCGTATAATCTCATAAAAACATCATTGGTCCATCAACCATGGAAACTACTGTCGTAACCTAAGCCATGGGATGGCGAATCACCTGCGGATCCTACAGAATAAGTTCAGGATCGAGTTGGACAAAGACCAGCTACCAATCGAGTATAGCATGCACAACAGGTGTATGATTATAAATCCTTTGGGCCAGTTCAGCTTATATCTTGTTATACACCCTCATAGGTAAAAAGATCATACTATACAAGCACAACGGCTTTGGGTGTACAGGCCTGAAATACTGAGTCCCCATTATACATTGCATTAAAACTAAAAGATGGAGAACAATCTGTTTTATGTATTGTAATCAAATCACAGAGATATGGTAAATATTAGGAAAGAAAGTATTCCGAAAGATTTTATTCTTTATCGCTTTCGAACGAGACATCGGATAGTGTGCTTTCCTGCGACATCCTGTTCTCGATTCGAGTGTTTCGTTTGACCCGTTGGACACTGCCCATGACACACGGGATTTGATGCCACAGAAAATTTCTCCTCCACGACGCCGGATGCCTTACCCAAGGAACTACTCGATGACTCGGGGGTAACGGAGCCGTACCGATATTCGCGGTGAAACAGGCCATATCACATGTCGGTCTGGTTCGTTTGGGTGGACCAGAATTGACTCGTTGTTTACCCATCGCCCGGATGGCCANATTTACCAATCTGGATGGGACGTTCCTCTTGCAACAGGATAGGCTGATTGATTGTGCTCAGCGAACTGAATCTGGTCCGATCCAGTTGTGAATAATGACTGAGGCGATCGTAATTTCTGGCGATCATCGATTTTGAGACCAGATTGTTCACCAGATTGTCTGTGAAATCGATCGGGTGTCGGTCACGACCTAAAAAGCTCGCATGACGACTGTTTCGAAAATATATGGACATATCGGCCATGAAGATTGAGTCTATTGTTGTCCCACTGGCACGCGGTTTTCTCTTACCCCGATGACACAGTCGTGCCCAATTACATCGATTAAAAAATCGCACAATTCTTGATCGTATTCGATTGGTTAAACATTTTCTCGGGGAGACTGCCTCATCCATAGACATTTCATCGGACGAGTTGGTATGGATTATCGGAAGAGTAATATCATCACCTTGTCTGCTCGGATCAAACCACATATCCGGTGAAATCAATTCCCCCTCTGATCCACCCGAACTTCTAACTCTCGAATCAATAAGTCTGATCGATTCGGACAACTGTTGCGCATGTTTATGCGGTGAATCGGGCACAATCATCGCGTAGTGTAGTTGAAGTGTGATCTGCTTGTACAGATTGAGAATTTTCTGATCATGTGTTTCCGGATCCCGTTGTAACCAGTGGCGAATATATCGATCGTCTATGTGAATAAACCAATCCCGTATCAGATTTCGACCCCGTTCACCACTGATTATTTCCACCGCACACAAACACTCGTTCACAATATGCTCATTTAATTGATTGAACAAACTCAACGGTTGTTCTTTTTGCAACGGGACTTTCAGCCATTTAACCAACGGTTTCATGGTTAATCCCATCAGACCGATAGTAAATAGAATAATGAACAATGAGGTTGTGATCATTAGGTCACGTTTATGCATCCCGTCCACACGAAAATATTGCGGTTTGACTAGAATGGCCAAACACAAACAGACTGCACCACGTAGGCCACCGTAAATGAGCAAAATTTGCTGAGTGACTGTGATGTTTGCGGTCGAGTGTAGGATATAATTGATGGCCAATGTGAG